TCTTCTTTTAATGGCATGTTTTTAATGTCAAAGTGAGTATTAATTAGTTGTGTGATATTTAGACATTTTCAGATAACAATACCTGCATTAATGCTTTCTGATCAACACTTCATAATGTATTTATTAAAGTGCAATTAAAATACACTTGAAACTTGCTCTAATTTGCAACCTTTTGAGGCGTCTTTCAATCAAAATGCTAAAATGGTTGTTATATGATCAAAGTGCAAGAATGATCAAACTGAATGACATTTATTTATCTGTACAGTGGAGTACTTTTGTTAAAATTAGGTCTTGTATCAGAGTGCATAAAGGTTTAATCAACCAGCATGTAAGATGTATGTAACCATCTCTGTCCAACAAAATATAAAAAGTAAACATTTCATTAAAATTTTACGCAGTACCAAAATGTAGTTCTGCACGTACATTTGGCCCAGAGAATTATCATTCTTGAATTAGATATTTTAGTACAAGATTATTCAAAGACTGTATTCTTTTTGACAAAAGTATATTAATTAATACGAAATTCTTCAAGTCATTCAAACCGTCTCATTTTAGATTTAAATTTTTAGTAATCTGTGCTTTTGTTCTATTAGATGTCTTTTGAATACAACTAAATGGACAGTTTGACTTCAGGAATCTTATACTTTTTGTTTTTCCTTCATATCTTGAAAAGTTTTTCCCTCTTATTTTAAAACAAAAGTTTTCATTTCCTTGTTAGCATTAAAACCTGTAAAGAAGTTTTTCAATGAGAATTACCAGTGAAATTTAAGCACCCCTTGAAATTATATTTTAATATTTTTATTGCCATAAAACAATTTAATGCATTAATACATAATATCATAGTTTACAGGAACTTTATTACCTTTTCACTTAAAAAATTATGTAAATTAGGTAATTAACATTTAATTTTAATATGTTAAAAAAAACTACAAAGATCAGTGATTATTTTAACATAATGTGTACCGCTGTTTAATAAATCAAAATGGAAATCTTTAATGACATGGCAAAATTGATATACAGACTTGGTTTGATTGAACTTGTTCCTGAACAGGTAGTTGTATTTGCAAGCTATGGCGGCGTCCATGTCCTCTTAGTATACTTTTCTTTTCCTTGGTGGCAATGATGTCATGACTATGATACTACTTAAGATAAATGTTGTCTGCTTGGAGAGAAGCTCAAACTCCAAAGTCAGAAGTTATAATGAAACTCAGAGCTCTGGTATACATTTGATTGGTTACTTTTCAGCTTTATGCAAGAGGTATTATACATTGGGTGTCCCTCAATATAAATATTTCATTTATCAGTGAATATTCACTACCAACCTTCTATAAGCTTTATCATAATATTAAATAAGTTTTATTAGTTCCCTCACATTAAAGAATCCATGTCCCTCGAGGGCGTCCGTGGCCGAGTGGTTAAGTTCATTTGCCCCTCATCGCTGTGGGGTCGAATCTTTACAGGGACTTTGGATTCTTTCTTGTGAGGAAGCTATCCAGCTAGCTTTTGGAACGTCGGTGGTTCTATTTGGGTGTTCGTTCCTGCCTGAAATAATGCACGGAAGGGCACCTGAGGTCTTCCTCCACCAGTAAAGCTGGAACATCACCATATGACCTATACTGTGTCCGTGTGACGTTAAACCTTATCAAACAAACAAATGTCCCTTCATGGTTTGTGCCTTATTTTCGACATATTGTCTGCCTTTACTGCCAAGATGTGACCATAAAAATGCATGGCGTTTAAAAACCAAAATAAAAAACCATGATCATCAATGATTCACACATTATATATATATTTATCAGTTTGTATAAACTAAGATATAAATTACCAACATTTACAGAAACAATGAGATGAATATACTGATGATGCAAGCATCTACTGGAATGTATGAATCATTGTGAAATGATTTGAAACTGGAAATTAATTTCTTGGATTTCCAAACAAAATGAAAAAAAAAAAGATCCTGTTTTGACTGAGTGGATTAATTGTCTTTAATTAATTTTTTCCAGAAATCATGTCAAATAAGCAAATTACAATATTGTTCTTAAGTGCATGATACATGTTGCCTATATGTACATAATAATTATGTATGATATTGTAATATCTAAACAAGATCGTGCATTTTTATTCATTGATAAATTAGTACAATTTCACCTATAGAATTGAAATCTTATAATATTTAACATCACTGAATTTTAACATTTATATTATTATTAACTTACTTCAGTTTGAGAGTCATAATTCAATTAAAGCTCTACATTATAAATATATATTATATTTAAGCTTAAGAACATGATGTAAATCTTATTTTAGCATTTACTGGAAGATTTAAACTGACAAACTTAAAGTCAGACACTTTTTGACTTTGATATTGTGCAAACATTATAATGATTTAACTTCGAAAATAAGGTGCAGATAAAAGACAAGGTTTTTAAAATTATGTTTTTCTTTGACTGATATCACATTTTGATGGGTTTTTAAACTCTTACTATCATTAATTAAAATCTTTTTCCCTTTAAGTCAACATTATTTGTAAATGTAGAAAGAACATGCATCCTTTGTTCAATTGAGAATAAAACCTGTGGAGATTCAATTTCACCTTGACCCCTGATTTACACCTCTCCCTGACCTCCTAGGGGTTGTAAATTACACTCCATTCATGAAATGTCCCCAAATTGGAGAAAATCTCTTATCATGATTTCCATGGGTTCCCCTTTGACACTTTATACCCTATGGTAGTACCTCAAAGCTAAGATCCCATTCATGAATATATTTTTATTTGAGTAAGGAAGTTTCTATGGGGTCCCGCATAAGGGTATATCATCTTCCTTTGCTTTCATTCATAGATTTTTGTTTATTTTAAAGATAACAATAGGGGTTTATCTTAATGGCTGACCAAATGTCTCTGAAGTCAAATAATAGTTGATACCTGTACACTGATATACAACATGTTTAATGCCTTACTGTAACTTTTATCATCTTTTGAAAATAAAGGAAAACTTTTATCATTATTTCTACGAAGAATGACGATTGTAGCCGATCTATTTTTAGCAAAAATAATAATATACATGTATGTATTTAAATTAAGATGTTGCGGTTACGGGCCCAGGCCAAAAATGTCTGTAGTTAAATTTAATTTATTTTACAATTACTATGTTTATGTAATTGAGTAAAATTGAGGACAGTTTGTTTGATGAGAGAAAAACAAAACCCCTAAAGAACGCCTATAACAACAAAATTGAAAATGTTGTAGACTCAATTTGATTGAGCCTAGCTAAGTTTATGAATGGTACTGGAACCTGCAAGTTTATAAAGTTAATCAAGTTGTTATAGGGATGCGAGGAATCCTTGGAAATCAACCCTTAATACCATGCTACTTTTCTTTAATGGACTTGCCCAGATTGTTTATAATATTTTTTAACCCCTATAACCTGCTGGTGGTCGAGGAAACCGGTTCAAACCAAGATCAACTGGCATATCTATGCTGTTTGGTCATGTTCTGCACTGTCCTATATATCTCTTTCAAGAAAGTTGAAAATTAAATAAGTTTTATATAATTATTATGTCTTATTAAACAAAATAGAGAAAGTTAAGTATATTAAATCATTTTTTTCTACCATTATTGTGTAATTTTACACCAAATTAATTCTCATCCCTTTATAATTTGAATCTTTTATAAACAAGAAATTTAATAGTCACATTAACGACAGACTTGAGTAATTTTTTTTATCAAAATTGTATACTGATATTTAATAATGGCCATACATCAGTTTTCCTTTCTGTTTTGAAATCTAACCTGAGCATGAATTATTCATAGATTTTGGTTCTGCCTGTATTTTGGACACGTTACTTACAGGGCAAATGAAAAATGAGAGTCAGAGTGACACTTTAAAAGCAGAATAATCTTGTGACATTGAGTTGCCGTGGTAAATGCATGTGACAGAAAAGTGGTGTATATCATTGTGGGATGATGTTTTGATACAAAACTTAATCATTATGACAACATAAAATAAAATTTTGTTTGAATATTATAGAAATGCATTCAAAAATATACCAGACACTTAGAACAGTTAAAAATAACAGCCTGAGACCCACTTTCATATGGCCTCTTAGCACACTTTAATACACTCAGATAAAGCCTTTTATATGGTCTCTCATACACTCAGTTAAAGTCTGAGACCTATATGGCCACTCATACACTCAGATACAACTTGAGACACATATTGTCTTTACTAATACATGAAGTTAGAGCCTGAGGCTCATTTCTATGGCGTCTGAATACAAATGAAGGTACAGCAGCAATGTACTGAAATTGGTGGAGTTGAACAAGAAAGTCATGAGTTTATTTTATAGATCTTAATTACTAAAGCAATAATGCACTGCCCCTGCAAAATGAATGCTTACTATTCATGAACTATTCATGATTAGTTCATACAAATTCATGAATTTTTTTTTGAACTGTTCAGGAGATGTACATGAAGTAAAAATGGCACAAATTCTTGATAAGGTCATAAATTTGTAGTTCATGAAAAGTACTTGGTTCTTAAAAAGTTCATGACATATGAATCAATGAATTTTCCTTGAACAGTTCATGATGAAATATCTGTACAAAGCTCATGAACTATTCAGTTACTACCTGGACATGAACAGTTCATTACATTTTCTCTAAAATGTTACTTTTCAAGGACTCAATTTAGCACAAATTCATTGTGCCATTTTCACTTCATGAACAGCAATAGAACATTTCAAGGACCATTACTCATGAACAGTCCATGATAAACAGTTTTTGAAAATTCAAATTTTATTAAAAAACTGATGGCAAAGATTTTTTTGTAATATTTGATTGTAATTTCCATATTTATTTGCTTTTTAAAAGAGCAAAAAAGATCATAAAGATGTAGGACAAGAAAATTGACAGACAAAGACCAGTCACAAAAACTCATATAAGCAGAAACTGTTTATGTGAGTAGAAAAATATAATAACATATTTTGTCATTCAAATGAGCTTTTATTTAACACTGCACACGTAGTAATTCATATGTCTTCCTTTTTTTTGGTTGTGTTTTATTTGGATTTCTAATTTTTTCTTTTAATTGTTTTGTTTCCTCCGCAAAACTTTTTGTAAATTTTCAAACTTTTTATAGAACAGTTCCTTGCTCATGCCTGTTTTCGTCCTGACAATTGATTCAAGTTTCATCATTTTAGCCTTGTCAAGAGCTGGACGAGGCTCTGTCAAACACTTGGCCGTTTTTTTCCCAGTTCTTGAGTGGCTCTTAAGCTCAATTTCATTGAAAATAGTTTTTGTTACTTTAACCAAGTACTCCTGTGGGTCACTGATATGATCATAATTGCTCATTTCATGGTCATCACGGCTAGGCTGTTTCTCCAAAGCGGCCACCCTATCTTCTAGTTTTCTGATCTTGCGTCGAAGACTTCTGCATTCATCTTCCCACCTGAAAAACATGATTCAGTTGAATTAAATTAATATTTAGCTTTCCATGGGTGAGTTACATGGTTATTTAGCTTTTCATATGCGGAGTTATATATTTCAATAGATCACAAAATTAGTGTTAAGTAGTGATGTTTCGATGATCGATTTTAATCGAAAATTGGTCGTTTTGGACACAGATCGGCGATAAACGAACATGAACTATGATAATCGATTGTCGCTGACAAAAATTTCAAGAAGCTAAAAATATCAATGACCTGTTTGATAATAAATTTGTTTAAGAACTTAAATTCTTGCATATCAGACTGGCGTTTCCGTTTGTTTTACCCATGCCGGAAATTTCATCTGGCATGGGGGGTTCCAGATGAGTCGCGTGCTGTACAATGGCACGATAAAGATGACGTCATTTTACCGTTATGAATGATTTTTGTAATTCATACGCTGTTGAATGAAAGTAGTTACGGTTGTAATGATATAAATTTTCATTGAAAATAAAGATAAAGAATTAAAATATAATGGAATATGGTAGAACATGCCAGAAAAAATATCTGACATATGTTTGCAGTTCGGATCGGAATATCCGTCCCTCGGTCACCCGCCCATGGGCGGTAACTCGGCAAGCCTCGTTACCGCCCAATGGGCGGGTCACCTCGGGACGGATATTCCGATCCGAACCGCAAAATATGACAGATATTATTAAGATAGTGACCAACATTAGATCTATTTTGTACATGTCAAATAAACACCAGTAAACTTTGTCTTCAAAAAGTTACATCAACAACGTACGGTAAATTTTGCCGTAAATTACAAATTTGAAAATTTTGTTTTACGATGCCTTTTGAAAAAGCCGATGAATAACAACCTTCAAATAATCAAAAAATATTTAATCTTATATAATCAAAATCAACAACAAGTAGAATTGTGAATGTTTCTGCAGGAAAAAGACAAATTTTCATTTGTCATATTTTCACGATGCCGCATTTTATAATTAAAAAAAAACGTAACCAAATTAAAGGAAGCTATGTTTTGTTAAAATGTGTGTAATAACACTTAAATTGTAGTTTATGAATTAAAATTACCTAAGGTATTGTTTACATTAGTTGAGATGGAGATATTTGCCAGTATGTGTTGGTCACATACAATGAATATTTTCTTATGGGAGGTGGGTGTGTGGAGTCAGAGTGAATCAGGAAGAAAACAGCATAATGGTCTGATGATGTAGGATTTTAGAAATTATATTTCAAATCTTTTCAATCACTTTTAAATAAAAGCAGAAATAATTGACTAAATGGTTGTATATGTTTATTAAATGCTTTTGATCAAAACATAATTTGAATGAGGTAATGCACTGTAACTTACGCTTGATACCTAAATAGAAGCTGATATTCATGTGTGGAACAACCGATTATTTAATTGATGATCAATCGATTTGTCATATTCGATTAAAACCGATGATCGATTATAAATCTGGACCGATTATACAACACTAGTGTTAAGTCTCATATTAAAGTTCTCTGATATCAGCCCTGTAGGAAGATGTCATCTACATGTACATTTAAGCAACAATTGTCATTCTATAAATAAATTCCTACTGTGGAATTCCACCAAAATAAGACTACTTATGTGATTTTTTTTAATCTTACAACAACCATCTTTAATTCATTTATTTTGTAAATTGGCATACAGTAAAATCTCACATTTTAAAATTTAAGTCTCAAAACATCTGACAAAATGATTGATAGACTTTAATTATTGCATTTTCTAAATTAAACCCTAACTTACGTGTATGTCCTTGTGTCTTTATCCTTTTCTGAGCTGCTGGATCCTTAAAAAAAACAATATCCAGATTTTTTTCTGTCCGTTTTTAAACCCCCTTTTTTGTTTCCCAAATTTTAGAAAACCATTTTTAACATCTCATTACAAAAGAAATGTTAATTGCTAACAAATTTTATTTAGCTAAAACCAATTTTTCAAATTTAAACAAAGAAATAGTACATTTTTGTTATTTTCACTGGAACCAAACTTACTACCATTGCTTACATTTTGTGTGTAGAGTCACAGTGATTCTGATATTTGACAAAGCGCATAAATAAGCAATATCTTGAGCCTGGGTATATAAATATAAGACAAAAACTAAGAAGTAAACAGATTTTCCAGGCATATATCTATTTTTAATTCATAGAAAGAGCAGAATTCAATTTATCCATGTAAATTTGTTTGTTTGTGTTTTATGGCACATCAACACAAATATGGTTATATTGTGCCAATATCCATGTAAACAAAGTGAATATGTTAAATTTTTATGCAATATGCGGTAGCTTTGAACATTTAAAAATGAACAAGGACGTCAAAATTACACTTTTCTTTCAGTAGAGCCATTTCATCAATATACTCCAAAATATGTTTAGAGCTAATGTGCCTTTAAGGAACTTTAAACAACAGGATTACCTAGGTTAAATGTATACACTTACACATGTATTTAGTATTTAAACATTTAATGGCTAAAATTAGCTAATTTTTAACAATCTTGTGTCCTGTACTATTTAAGAGGTTTAACCAAGTGTAAACCTTAACATGTACATATAAAACTTTCAGAAAAAGCAATATCATTCAAACTTCTAGCTGACATGATTGTTAAATGATTTTGTTGTGAATCTGAATTCTATGAAAATCTTTGGTAGTGTATCATAAAAAAACATCATTTAATTCATTCATTTTGTAAATTGGCATACAGCAAAGCCTTGTGTGTTTAAAAACTGTCTTTTAAACAAGCAGCTTAAAGCTTAGACACATGCTCTGCCACTTAGGAGGTTCATAATGTTAACATGTACCTTCTGAACATTTCTTCAGTGTAGAAGTCAACTGAGGTCTGCTGTCTGCCATTTTTTCTACAGGCCTTGGAGGGGACCAGGTACAGAGAGGGATCTCATTCTCACTCACTCCTGAAATAATTTTAGTTAATATTGTTTTACTTGCTTATTGTTTAGATAAAGATTAACAGTAAGCAAACCAATCATACATGTTCCGGTATCCCGTCTGAAAACTTTAACATTGATCTTTTTTTATTACTAGGTGTAATGTCTTTATACTTAGACACAACAACCCTTTGGACAAGACCTTCAAGTAGATCAGACTGAACTGGAAATTGGCTCATCAATGACCTTGACTTTTTTATTTACCTACATAGATTTTAAAGAACATAGACAACCAAGTTCATTTGGTGCAAAAAGTGTAATTAAAGAGATGTAAATTGCTAACCAATTTTATTTAGCTACAATTTAAGGAACTTTAATCAGTATTACCAAAGTTAAATGTATACACTTCACTTGTATTTAGTATTTAACATTAATGGCTGTAATTAGTTAATTTCAATGTTTGCAAAATACCCAAAAGCATTTTCAAAACAACTTTGTGCCCCGTACTATCTACTATTTTAAAGGCTGAGCCAAGTGTAAACATATAAAAAAGCTAAAAGTGTCTTAAAGAAAAAGCTCTGTACATGAAAAGTAACAAACTTCAGGCTTATACGACTATTCAAAATTTTTTTAAGCTGAATTCTTTGAAAATCCTCAGTAAAGTATTATAAATGAAGCATCCATAGAAAGGTTGTGTGTTTAAATAGCTCTTTTTTTTTTTTAAACAAGTGGCTGTAAAACAAGTTTTCAAATCTTAGACACATGCTCTGCCCCTTGGGACTTTCATGTTTGCATTTACTTTCTGATTCTGTGTTTTGTGTAGAAGTCAACTGAGGTCTGCCTTCTGCCATTTTTTCTACAGGCCTTGGAGGGGACCAGGTACAGAGAGGGATCTCATTCTCACCGACTCCTGAAATAATTTTAGTCAATATTATGTTTTACTTGCTTTTTGCTTAGATAAATAGTAACAGTAAGCAAACCTATCATAAATGTGTATGACTTTATTTATTCACATACATAGATTTTAAAGGACATAGACAACCAAGTTCATTTGGAGCCAAAAAAAGTGTAAGAAATGTAAATTGCTAACCAATATTATTTATCTACAATTTAAGGAATTTTAATCAAGATTACAAAGGTTATATGTATACAGTACACATAACTTTTGGTATTTAAACATGTTATGGCTGAAATTAGTTAATTTTAATGTTTGAAAAATACCCCAAAGTATTTTTAAAACAATCTTGCGCACTGTACTATTTACTATTTTAGAGGTTGAACCATTAGAGTAAACCTCAATCTATTCATATAAAAAAATCTAAAAGTAGCTTTACAGGTTTTTTTTTTGGCCTACTTTATAGCCGTTATTGGGTCATATTCCCAATTGAAAATAGTATATTATTTTCCCAATCCACAGAAAAAAATCCCCAATTGAAAGTTACAAAATAAAAATATTGAATAAAAATTCTAAAATCTTTGAAAATAAGGGCTTCTTCACTGTAATAGTGCTTAAATGTTTGAAGATGCCATCCTAGACAGTGATTGTTTGCATTCATTTAAACATTGCAAAATTTCAGTTATGCATTTTTTCCCAATTTTTAACAAAACACCGCTGAAATTCCCAATTCCATGGGTATGGGTCATGTTCCCAAAATCCTGGAAAAAATCCCTGCTTTATAAAGGTAAAGTTGTGTACATGAAAAGTAACAAACTTACAGCTTATATGACTCTGAAATATATTATTTAAGCTGAATTCTTTGAAAAAAAAGTTATATTATAAAAGAGCATCCATAGAAGGGCTGTGTGTTTAAACAGCTAATTTTTTTTAACAAGTTTCACATGCTCTGCAACTTAGGACTTTCATAATGTTTACCTTCTGATTCTGTGTTTTGTGTAGAAGTCGACTGAGGTCTGCTGTCTGCCATTTTTTCTACAGGCCTTGGAGGGGACCAGGTACAGAGAGGGATCTCATTCTCACTCACTCCTGAAATAGTTTTAGTCAATATGGTTTTACATGCTTTTTGTGACAGTACTAAGGCAAACCAATAAAAAATGTATGACTTTCTTATTTACCTACATAGATTTTAAAGCATATAGACAGCCAAGTTCTATTGGTGCCAACAGAGGAGTAAGAAAAGTAAATTGCTAGCCAATTTTATTTAGCTACAATTTAAGGAACTTTAATCAGTATTACCAAGGATTACTCAGGGATCATGGGTTCAAACCAGACTGTTCACAAGCAGGTTTCCTTTTATGACACCAGTACTGGCTAGTTCTACAGGGCCTTTTTTCATGTTTTGGTAATGCCACCAACACCGGTGAAACTGGGAGGTAAAGTGTCGTAAAATGCCAAATTTTAATTTTAGAAACTACAAAACAGATACAGATGAACAAAAGAATAATTTCTATTGATGGTGTTTCGATTTGAATTTTCTTTAAAAATAGTTTAAAGAAATAGAATACATTTGGATAAACTAACAGAAACATTAGTGCTTACAATCGGGAATTTTTTGCCTCTCATTTGAGAAAAAACAATTTGGCATTGGGAATGCCTCCTTTATCGGGCACTATCTTTTTCTTTTTTTGGACTTAAAACTTTTTTAAATTTTAAATATTTCACCAACCAACCTGCTGTAGTTTCACAGTTGAAAGTATTATCCTTCATCAACTTCTCTTTGGCTTCATGGTAATTATATTTTGGCGGAAGCTTACTTTGTTGTAGAATGTATTTCCTGTTTGCTGCATACAAAACAAACAACAAACTTATTCTCATGGCAAAAATAATAAAAGCACTATGCCTCATGACAAGAGTTATTATATCAGCTCTTTTAGAAAAAAAGTTTGTACCGGATCACAACATATGCCCCATCCCCTTAACAAAAAATAATTACCACCTAATTAAAAAGGAATAAATATTAAACAAAAAAAGGGAATATAGAAGAACATTTTTTGATGGTCATAGTTATTAGTGTAGCCGGATTTGTTTGGGGTATCAAAGCTTAAAACTAGTAAACTAAAATAAGGAAATATAATAATTTAAGGTTTTAGAAGGCGTATGCGTTTAAGCATCATCCTACCTTTTCAATTTAACATTAAATTAAATACAGTTCTTAGCCTAATGTGGGATTTTTATCCTACCTTATTCTATAATCTCTTCTATGGAACTACATAAAGAACGATTTGTGATAGGAATTATGGTACTCACTCGGCCACATATGCAGAACTTTATGAATTAAATTGAAGTTTTTTTTATATAAATTGATGCATATGCTCCCCTATATGGACAGGCTTAACATCCCAATCATTTTCCATTTTAGTAAATACACTTTTAAATTATGCAAAATGCCCAAAATAGATTTTAGAAGTCTAAGATATTATTTGGTCTACAAAACAAAACTAAACGTTACACCGTGGAAAAAAAATAAATCAACATCAACCGGAACTGCTCTAAATCTGGGATATACGATAACGTATGTCCCAGTCTAAATCGGAACTGGTTGACTGACTACATTATTCAAATAAATCTACAAACATCCTACACATCAACGATTTTTATGTTTATTTTGAAATTAAAAAATATTCAATGATAAAACATTGTTAAATTTTCTTTCATTTCTTGCTTTATTATTTCGGAAAAATGTAGAAAATAATACTGACTGTTGATCTCACAAATCACAGCGTGATACGTTTTCTTCTGAAAAACAGCTTCGATAAGTTCGCCTTCGTAATAAAGTTTTCCATCTTTCTTGGGTCGAACAATATCTTTTGTCTGTATAATACTGAGAAACCGATCTTCCCATTGCACTAAAAGATATATTGTCTCTGCCATTTTGAAACCGCTTTGAATATCAAAACTGCGCCCGGTAAACAAACTTTTTGCACACGTTCCTGTTTTGCACACGGTATCACTCTCGGATAATTCTCGCACATGAGGATTAAACTTATAACTCTTATTTTTGTTAAGCTTCTACTTTTAATTATTTATTTGATACAATTTTTATTTTTCAATGCAAATGAGATGTATAAAAAAAAAATTCATAAAAAATGCAATGAAACTGAAAAGTCATTCCTCGTGTTGTCGATATGACGTCATCAACGGAATACAGTTTTGTGTAGTCCAGTCAAAGAAAATATTCTGTTTCATCTTACTTTAAAGGTAAGTTAAATTTTATATTCTGAAATAAAGCATTTATATTGAATTTATATTTTACAAATATCAATAGATATTGATAATGTTTTCGTCATCGAGTGTAGTGATAATATAACGATTCGCCCCCATCCCGATTCGTTTTTGTAACACAGGTGGCATATTTTTATGCGACCATTTTTATGCAATGTTAATAATATAATTATATACTAACTTCAAAGGAAGTTTATTCTCCAAACAATAAAAAACATCCTGATTATGCTGATTAAAGATTGTCATTGACAAAGCTGAAATAAAGCCGTTATTAAACTGGTCTTTTCCGGAAACTGGTTCCCCACCAGCAGTAGAGATTTTTTTCTAGTTTTTCTTATTTTTATCAGTCAAGTAATAGATCTATTCATTTTCAAAAAAATATGTCTTGTAGTTTGTAAATAGTAAATACACTGGTTACAGGTACCATGAGGATCCTTTGTAATTACTTAATTTACGAGTCATTTATAGTTACTGGTCGGAGAGATAACTCCGACCCATAGATAACCCCGACACTTGATAAATATAATTTTCATAACTTTGTTTTTCAACAAAAAAAGCATATGGTCACCTAGTAGTATAGGAGCAGGACAGAATGTGATGATTGTTTGCAAGTTGGTAAACTTTTAATATTTTTCAATTAACCAAAACTTTTCCTGAGCAAAATCTGCTTCAAAACATTCTGTTTACTAAATTACAATGAGGTAGTTAGAAAGATTCAGAGTCAACTCGTCCCCTGGTCAACTCGTCCTCTGGTCAACTCGTCACCTTTTTGGTCAACTCGTCCCTTGGACAACTCGTTCCCTGGTCAACTCGTCCCCTATATTTCATTATTATTTGTTTTTCATATATTCCATAAATTATTATAGACTGTTAAAATATATTATAAAATGACTGAATTGGACATATTTTGACGCTTTTTGTATGCGAATATTTGGAGTTTTTTTTATCTAATAATAAGTATATTTATGCATAAATCTGATTAAATTACATACAGAAAAAAACAACACGAAGACGATCAATAGCAACAACATTTACTGTATAAAAACATGTTTCATATGCAATGATGAAATATCATATAGTATGTCTTTTTTGTCAATATTATATCATATATATTCACTTTCACTTTCATTGTTTTTTGCATGCACATATTTCATTGTCTTTTTTTTTTGACATCTTACGACTCTTGGGGATTATATAAGTTCCCGAATTCTCTTAGAAGTCCCGTTGATGACAACTCCCCATTCCTGTACCTGTCCCACAGCTGGTGCGTCTGTCCCTGGAGAAAGGTGTATTTTTTACCGTTGGTAGCGGCATTGGTCAACTATAACAGATATATTTATCTCTTTAATGCGAGGACATGGAGGATGTATGAATCCATGAAGGCATTTCTCAAATTCCCTACAAATTTGTCTAAGACATATACAGTCTAAAAATCAAAGAGTTGGACCTAATTTAAGTTTTAATTAACATTAAAAATCCGATTGATTAAACATTAATTGAATGTTTGCAAATTTTAAAATTTTACGTAAAAAAGACGTTATTTTATTAATATTTCGATATCAATCAAATTCATTATTAATTCTACATAAAAAGAACTATTTAAAGACATTGGTTTACAACATAATAGTGACGAATAGATCGAAAGTAGGGGACGAGTTGACCATATTAGGGACGAGTTGACTCTTTGAGGACGAGTTGACCAAAAGTAGGGGACGAGTTGACCAAAAAGGTGACGAGTTGACCAGAGGACGAGTTGACCAGGGGACGAGTTGACCGGATTGCGTTAGAAATGTATTGACCACAGGCCACTGACTTGGGAAATATTTTTGAAAACTTGTTTTTACATCAACCAAAAATAGATAAAACATATCAGATGTAAAAATAAATTAATGATGCTGATTTTCCTGTCATTTATTACTTAAAAATTTAAGTGTCGACTTTATCTACTGTTGAGGGGTAAAAAGACCATGTTTTGTATACCCCATTCAGGACCTTAAAGAAGTACCAATTCTCATTTTCATACATAATTTTTGTAGTGTAATGTAAAGTCTTTGAACTGAACTTTATTTAGGTAGTTCAATATTTAAAATATACAGGAAGATAATTAAGATATTACAAAAAGTATGTGATTTAGTGTCGGAGTTATCTCTCCAACCAGTAGACTAAAATAAAAAAATATGTCTGGTTCAGGGAACCCGACCGACCCTATTTTTTTAACGCCGACCCTAAACTATTTTTTTTGATTTTCGGTACGAAAATTTTTGGGAACGAAACTACAAATGTGAAAATTATGTTTTACGATGGCTGTTGAAATAGCCGATGAGTAACAATCTTAAAATAATCAAAAGATATTTAATCTTATATGATCAAAATCAACAATAAGTAGAATTGTGAATGTTTCTCCAGGAAACAGACACATTTTCAATTGTCACATATTTTCGCGATGCCACTTTTTATAATTAAAAAAAATCGTAACCAAAAGGAAGATATGTTTTGTTAAAATGTGTGTAATAACACTTAAAATATAGTTTAGGAATTAAATTTACTAAAGATATTATTTACATTAGTTGAGATGGAGCCATTACCAGTATGTGTTTGTAACATACAATGAATATTTTCTATTTTAAGGGGGGGGGGGGGGTGTAAGAAAACAGCATAATGGTCTGATCATGATGTATGTTTTTGAAATTATATTTCAAATCTTTTCAATCACTTTTATGGTACAGTGTTTTCCATTTGGGGCATATTACCATTTTCCTGAATAAGCTTTTTCTCTGTTCAAACTGAGACTGACTCCCCAACCCCTTACTCTGCTATACTGTCTATACATCATATTTGTCAACAGCATATAAGTGCAGCAAAGATGGCTTAACATATTCAATGTGATCTGGAACTCCTACTTTTTTGTGCTTGGGAATCCCAAGACTCCTTCTTTGTGAGAACCCTGCAACTGTTGGCACCAGAGTTGCACATATATATCTATAGATTTGCGCCCCCTGAAGACCATTTGAATATGTTTAATATTAAAATTATATATAGCTGTGTTATTTTGGTCCCCGGAATAGTGCATGTCAGATGCTTTAAGCTTATAATACAGCATTATTATTAACTTGTTACAGAGGTGATCCTTGATCTTTTAATTGTCAGACCTGTCAGATGCAGGTTAGCATAGTACAGCAGGTGATTCAAAGGGAAAGGGTACATAAATAAGCAGAATAGAAAGCAAATTAGTATGAATACAGGTGCTACATGGTTAAATGACTACATACAAGAAATAAACAACACAATATCACATACTGATAGTTTATTACAAAATGGTGTTTGCATTGATTGATTACAATCTTTGTTTAAGTATGTTAAGCAAGCAACACATCTATATACTGATAACAAAAAAACAAAACAAAAAAAATCACTACCCTCCTAATTTTTTGGACCAATGTTTCCTGAACCAGACATAGTTTTTTTTTGGCCTTATTAATATTATTTATAATGAAACTCGTTATTTTATGGTGAAATAGTCAAATACCTATTAATGCATATATATTTTAATGTAATTGAGTAAAATTTGGGTATATTTGCGTATTTTTGCGGCCACCTAACACCTATTATAGGCTATTAAGACAAGATATTTTATCATTCCATAATGATTGTTAACAAAATCATATCGTTTTCTTGCGTCAAGTGTTGAGCCATAATCAAAATAATATGGTAAATTTATTTATAATATGGGCGGGGTTAACGATGCTATGGGGCGGACATGACTCCTGGCTAAGAAAGTTTTAAGGCCGACTTGACCTCGATACACAATTTAAGAGAGTTTGATTAACAGAAATATATTACACAGGTAGCAACAATGGCAGAAGCATCAAATTCAAAGAAAAACAATTACAGAGAAATATCACAAATTGGAGTTGGAGAGAGGGCAAGGAAACGGATGTTTGAATGCTTGATGTGCTCGCGAGTTGTGGCTTCAAAGCACTCAATAGAGAAACACCTTGCTACTCAACATAACTTGTGTAAGTAACTAGTACTAATTGTCCTTCACCCATGATACTCAATTACAATTTGTGTAATTTACTGGTTCAAATTGCACAGCACCCATATTGAGGATCTGGTGTTCTTCCTTGATATCAAATCAAACAGAGTATTTAACAAAACCAACTTTGAATAAGCATAAACCTTCTAAAACACAGTGTGTTTTCTAGTGTTGGCTGTTTCTATGCTACAAATATATAGATATAATTCCTTATTTTCATTTAGATGGACATTTTAAAAACTGGCACTTCCATCTTGAAATTTTACACATTTTTTCTGTATTTTCTCTCTAAATCACAGGCTTTTAAACAGCAAGAAATATTAATTGTTCTTTAATATAATTATAACCCTGAAATAGCACTGCAGTTAATTATTTTTTTCAAAACCTTTTTTACTTTTGCTATTCCAGCTCCTGTAAAACGTCTTAAAAAACTTTATCGATACGATGAAAATGTGCCAGTTCCAACACGAACATTGTACAGATGGAAATCCAGTAGGAAGATTTTGAAAGAAAATGCTGGTAAAATTTGTATTCATGTGTAGAAATTACTTATATAAGAGCTTACAATAGCTAATCATATCAACAAGACATGTAACAACTTGAAATTGTTATTTCACAATAATTTTCCTTCACTTTGAAAATACTCAATGTATGTTCACTGAAAAAAAAGATGAATTTTCGAAATAATAAAGATTTTTTCCAAATGTTTGGGTTAACAATTAATTTTGATGGCCACATGTTGTTTTACTTATGTATCTGTAAGAAAACATTACCTAAATTTGTATATTAAAAATTCTTTTATATTAACTGTTATTCGTGAATCAAGATTAAAACATTAAGATAAACATGATAAATTGTGTGACATGTACATATTTTTCTCTTAAAATGACATCATCTGTGTATTGAAAGAAGCAAGTGCAACTGTACATGTAGTATATTACAGAAGTGGATCAGGAGGTTGTTTTATTTTGTACAACTTAATAAAAAGGTTATTTTCCTCTTTTTTTTCCGTGAAATATGGATTATATTTTCACTCAACATGATAAAAACTCAATACTTTCACTCGCCATTCCGGCTTGAGAAAATAAGGCATTCTTATCATGTTTCGTGAAAATATAATTATTTCACCGATACGAAAAATATTTTGTAAATATTCTACACTAATTTATGTTTCTTAGGTCAAAACCGTAAGAGTAGAGTTTAAGAAGCCTCTGAGTAGTTTTAGTTGTTACTGTACCATCTATAAGTCATGCTGTAGGTACTAGTGTCTGTGCTTTACATATGGTGTATTTTGTTGTTGTGTTTTTCTTTTAGATCAAGGTCAGTCAATAGATGAGCCTCTTCCAGACTTCCCGAAATACGTCGGTCCGACGGACATGTCCGATAAATTTTGATTTGGTCCGACGATTCTTTATTCCGGATCGGTCCGACTGTCCGGCATTTATCCAAGCCGCGTTAAAACAAAAATGGCGTCGCTAAAATATTACGATGGTGCAAAACCTGGTAAAAAAAGAAAAAATACTTCAGAGGAGCGAGCAGAAATGAAGAAGAGGTACGAAAATAACAGAACCGAGAGGAAATTTAATGAGAAATGGAAACAGGGACGCGAATGGTTAGTCTATGACACGGAGAAGGGGAACATGCGTTGCGCCGAATGTGGTGATTATTACAGTGAAAAAATAATAACTGAAAAGAATTTAAGTAATACCAACACGTTTATTCTTGGTTGCAAGAATTTCTGAGTATCTTCATTGGATGATCATGAGAAATCTAAAAGTCATCAAAAAGCACACATCTATGTGCAAAATAAATCGAAAACTACCGTTGAAAAAATCCAGTCAGTTGCTGGCAGAGCCCTTAAAAAACTGAAGCAGGCAGAAAGAGACAGGTTAATGATTTTGTTTAAAAATGCCCATGCAATAGCCAAAAATAATCGCCCCTTAACCGACTACATGTGGCTGTGTGATATTGACAGAGCTAAGAATATAGACATTGGCAGTACCTACACAAATGAAAAGGCAGCAGGGGACTTTATTCATAGTATTGCCGAGACAGAAAGAATGAAAACTGTCAACCTTACCGAGAAAAATCCTTTTTTTTCATTTATGATGGATGGTAGCACTGATGTGTCTGGCGATGAACAAGAGACCATGTACATACGGAGTGCTTTGAAGGGTGTTGTTACCGAGAGATTTCTCAACATGTCAACCCCTAACTCAACAAGATCCCAAGACCTTTTGGAGCATGTAACCAGTGTTCTCCAGAAAAATAACATTGACAAAAGTAAGAAACAATAGAAGTAAACACACACTTTATAGCCTGTTCATTGGACTGCATATAAGAGCCAAATAAAATAAATTTATGAACCAAAATATATTATTATAATTAAAAGATACCTAATTTAGCATTAATGAAATTGTAAATTTACATTCTTTAAAAAAATCATAAAGCATTTTGTTTATTTTTTGTTTATGGAGCAAAATGAAATAAATTTATGAACCAAAAATGAAAATATATTATTGAAATAAAAAAATAAATACCCAATTTACCAAAATTGTAACATTTTTTTATAAAATCTTAATCATAAAGCATTTTGTTTTTGTTTTTTTCAGGCAGACTTATTGCTATGGGTAGTGATGGGGCGTCCAATATGACAGGAGTGAGATCAGGTCTTTCAACTCTATTGAAAGAACATGTCAGCCCAGAAATTATCAATATACATTGCTTCTGTCACAGACTTGAACTTGCTTTCAGAGATGTTGTTAAAAAGTCAAAACTATATGACAAATTGATGACCCTACTCATTGGACTGTATTATTTTTATAAAAAAAGCTATAAGAATAAACAAGGACTGAAGACTTCTATTGAAGCTATGAAAAAAGGCATTTTCCCCACAAAAGTCACAGGAACCAGATGGCTGCCACATTTGTACAGAGGAATGTTTGCATTCACAAAAACTTACAATGCATTAGAAGCTCATTTGTCAACTGCCAGTCATGGCAATGCGAAAGGGGAAGGTCTGCTCAAGCTTATGTGTGACAAGCAACTTATGGCTTTTGTCTTATTCTTACAGGTGAGAATTATTGCTGATTCATAGTCTAAACTTAATAAATATGGCTCCTAACCAGTACAAGAAAATCATTCATTTTAGAGGGCAACCTGGCAAAATAAGTTTCTAAATAATTGCATATGTTATTAAATATTTAAGATGTTTACAGTTTATGATGAAGACAAACACTTATAATTTTGTACTTCAGCTTTTTATCTGATGACATGTAACAAGAAATCCATTTCAATTTTTAGGATGCTCTGGAACCAGCCATCAGATTGTCATTGAAACTGCAGAGACCAGAAGGTACATTGTCAGATAGTTTATGTTGGGTGGAATCAACTATTGAGCTTCTGTCAGAAAAAAAGGGGAAGTAAGTTGAAATAATGAATTTCTTTGACTTTCTAATTAACATATATATACTTAAGTTGACTTTGAAATTGAGAACCAACAACACAGATACATATCAATTATATGAACATTTTCCTTAACCCAAATCAATTATCATGTGAATTCTATTTGGTTTTCACAATATAAGTTTTATATAATAAACATTACTTAAATTATGTTATGTGTAATGAACTTTGTTCCCATGTGTTTGATTTTCTTCCTGGAAAATTCCATTGTTCTTAAAGACACACTTATATAATCATAACATATTCAGGAGTTGTGAAGCTTTAAATCGGCTTCTTGAGTCTGGAAAGTTTGAAGGAATTGCCTTGAAGGGAGCAACACCAGCTATGAAATATACAGATGAAATTTTGGAAGGTTTCTGTGATGCTATTAAGCAGAGGTTTCAGATTGAATCCAAAAATGTCATAAATGCCACCAAAATTCTACAGTTTGGGAGCTGGCCTATGCCTGGAAGCTCTGAATTGAAAGGTCTCAGTTCACAATGTTGGAGTTAAACTTTTGTAATAGTTTTAGCTATAATAGCTATAACTTGTTATGTGTTGAACAGTTTAGAATGTGATGTTTTTTTTTTAATTACTGTGTTTCATGTCCTGTTTTATTGCAGCTTTTCATTATGTTCACCTAACAATTCAATCATAAGATTCTATTTCTTACCTATAAAGAGGAACGGAAAGTCATAACACAACATACAGTTTCAAATATAGAAAATGTTTATTTTAAAATTGCACAGAGTAATATGTAACTTCAATCTGTAGCTTTTCCTGAATTATTGTTTTGATATCATAGCAACAAGTCACAAATTAAAAAAAAAAAAATACAAAAAAAAAATGAAATCAGACCAATGATGGAGCCATGAGGCACATTATTTGACATTAAAATTACAATGTATGTTCAATCATGTTATATCTTTGAGACCTACAAATATTGCTAAATGCATAATTTATGATAAATATGGAGGCGTATCATATAATTAAAGCTATTTTAATTATCTTTTTAAGAGTATGGGAATGAAGAATTGAAACTTGTTTGCCAGCATTTCCAGAAAAGCCTATCAAGGGTTATTCCCGACATTTCTACAGACAGCGTGGTTAGTGAATGGAACCTTCTGAAGAAACTTGTGACTAAGAAGTAAGACAAATGTACAAATTATTTGTTTATTTATTTTTTGGCAACATTGTTTTTAAAACTTAAAATAGAGTTTCATTAGAAAATAATGATTATAGCTATAAGTAATGAAAACCAAGGCTGCAGAAAAAAGCAACAAGAATAATTGACTAGTTAGTCATGTACAACATTAGATAAGATCGTCAAGATAAACATGTCCTAAATTTTTTTATATAAATATATATATTCTGTATCATGCAGCTATGATGTTCCTGACTCAGGTAAAAAAATCTTGGTGAAAAAAAAGGGAGTACTTGTTCAGGGAAATCAAGATGAAAAACCAAAATTATTTTACTGATTGCCCCTCATGGGGGACCTCCCACCACAAGTTTTCCTTAAACAGCATTCTCACAATTAAAACTTTTGAAAACATGTAGACGATCCCGTCTGGGACCATCATTGCTGAATGACCTTATGACTGTGAAACTGGAATCCCCAGAAATTGTGGAGTTTAATCCAGATGATGCCATTGACAACTGGCTGGTAAGTTTCCTGAAATAACTAATTTCAAATCATTTGTAATAGAGATCATTTACATGATCATTTAAAATACAGTGGATACAAATGTTATTACAATAAAAGAATGAAAATTCCGTCTTATTTGGTACTATCAATTTGAAGATACTGTTATGGTTCTATGACATAACCTAAATCCCAGATGATTAAATCCATTTTACTTAAATTGGAACAATAATTTGCTCTTATTTTTAGTCTGGATCTGTGATGGGGAGAAGAATGACATACAGACGCCAGGAAAAGAAGGGAACTTCAGAATCACAACAGTCTGTTGTTATACAATACGATTCTGACACTGAAGATGTCCAGCAGATATCAGGATCACAAGAGTCTCAAATAAGTCAAGAGTCACATGACACAGACAGTGATCAGGGTGTCACCGAGCCAGCTACCTTGGAGGAGGGTATATCTGTGCCACAGGAGGAAATTCATGAAGTGACAGAGTCTTACATGCCACTTGAGAGGGACATTAACATTCTGTGTGACAAAGATTCTGACCCAGATATTGAAGAAGAGTGTTTTGACTTTCAAGATGAACTATTGAACTTTGATAAGTTAATGGCATTTAGCAGAGAATAAAAAATGAATATGAAAACATGTTTTATAAGAAATTGCATTTAAACTGAAATAAATGTGACAAGTTTCCTTCGATTTTGTTTAATGTCATTCGGTCTGACAGATTTCCTTTCGGTCTGACAGATTTCCATGGTTTGTCAGACCGAATGTCTGACACTTTTTTTTAACTTTCGGGAAGTCTGTCTTCCAGATACTTGTCCAGATGAGCCTGATCCATTGTTGTCTACCGACGACTCCTTCGAAACTGATGCCTCATTGTCAGATGAATCCGCATTTTCTAACAGTGATAGTGATTCATCAGTTGCTACACAGTTGAATAGAGAAGATGCTTCTTCAAATGAAAATGTTTTAAACATACTATCATGCTTTCAAAAACACAAGTTAACTGCAAGTGCCTGCAGAGATATTTTAAATACAATGTCATCTGTCTCTGCATCTGATTCTTACAGGACTTTGCTAAATTATGATCACTTGCTATCACATGTTCCCACTACTTCTTACAAAGAAATTCATTATTGCTCAGCATGTGGATGTATTTTCCCTGAAGACAGGTCAGTGTATAGATGTCTGACAGAGCAATGCCCAGGGCTAAGATACATAGGAGGACATTCACTACAAGATGGAACAAAACAACCTGGAAAATACTTCATACTGGCTGACATAGAAACACTATTGAAAAATTTGCTTATAAGTCCTGGTTAGTATAATTCTTTGATTTGTTTAGTTTAAGCTTGCAGCTGAAAACATGAATAGGTACCAATGCTTGGATTAAGGATCTTTTTTACATCATATCATATTTCAGTATTCCAATTCACATACTAATGTACATGACCACCTTCCCGGTCTAGTACATGTAGTTAGAGTCTCTGACTTCTTATCCAGCAATCTCTGGCATGGGCTCGAATTTTGGGAGAAGCAAATAGTAGTTTGAGCTTGAGCAGGGGAAAAGATGTCTAGTACTGGTAAAACTTGCCAGGAATGATGGTTAGCTACATTACTTAAATACTGTTGAGAGAGGAGCAAAAAAAAGAGTCACATATAAATCAATAATAAGGAGAATGTACTAATTTGCAAAAAAAAAAGAATTTTTTGTACGTGACTAGAACATAACTATTTGCAATATGCTGGAAACTGCTTACTTTCATTTCGTAAATGCATGCTACAAAGTAGCAGAGCGACATATAGGGATCACTTCTCTGTCCGTCTGTCACAAAACCTCTGGAACTGCTGGTGCAATTTCTTCCAAACTTTACAGGAGTCAAGTGTTTAGTATGAAGTCTACTTGTGCATATCGTCAGCATTTTTTGGTTCATAGATTTTTGTCAGAATTATTCAGGCCCTTTAAGGATTTTTATTAGCTTTTGTTATAACCGTGTCCGGATACGTTGTCAACATTTGCAAACTATCTCCTCCTAAACCCCTGCACCAATAGTGATGAAATTAAACAGGAATGATCCTTGGATGGTCCCAGAGATTAATCGAGAAATCAAATACCATGGGTCAAATGGTGCACATCTTTGAAATCAATGGGTCTGAGCACAAAAGCAATGGGTCCAAAGAGAAGAAGCTTTCAGAATACATTGCATATTAAAACTGCAGTCCAGTCAACAATGTTTACTATTTTAAAGGCTAAAATTTGTTTACAATATATATAGAAAGAGATATTAGTGCAAATCTTTGTTAAAACTAATTTAATGCCTTACAAAAAATTTGAAATATATGGGATGCAAAATATAGGTACATGAATTTTAATTTGGCGTCAAAATTTTTTCAGGGATATTAGAAGACATCAACAGACAGAAAGATGACCAAGATGAAGTTTTGACGGACATATGCAGTGGTCAGCTTTACAAGGAAAAGCAGAGTATCATGCATCCAGAAAATTTGAACTTAACCGTAACATTAAACACAGATGGGGTCAATTTGTACTCTTCATCCAAAATTGAGCTTTGGCCTGTTTTTTTAGTGATCAATGAACTAAGTCCTTCTCTCAGATTTGCAAGGGAAAACATATTACTATCTGTCCTATGGCAAGGGAAAGGAAAACCTCCATTTAAAACCATCCTTCAGTCTTTGAGTGATGAAATAAATAATTTATCAGTAAATGGTATGCAGATGCAACTTAACGATGATGAAATAACAGTAACACTTTCTTTATTGTGTGTGACTGTTGATCTGCCAGCTAAAGCAGGGGTACTAAATATGACATATTACAATGGAGCTAATGCTTGCATTTCTTGTGATGAACCTGGTGTCACTGTTAAGCAAGGCCGGGGCCACAGCAAAAGTTACCCATATAGGCAAAAACAGTTGCAGTTTGAAATGAGAACGCATGAAAGTGTTATAGAAAATATGGCATTAGCATCCGAACAAACAAGAGTAAAAGGCTTTAAGGGTGTGTCAGGACTATCACTTTTCAATGCTTTTGATATGGTTTCAGGAACAGTTCCTGATTATATGCACGGAGTGCTTCTGGGTATTACCAAAACTCTAATGTGCAAATGGTTTTCAGCATCTGAAGCAGGTCAAGGATATTTTGTTGGAAAACAGTTAAAAGAAATCTCTGATAGAATGAAAAACATAAAGCCATTTATCAGATTGAAAGGTTGCCAAGAGACCTTGAAAAACACTTTAACAATTTTAAAGCTACAGAGTTGCAGTCTTTTCTGCTTTATTACTCTTTGCCATGTCTTGTGGATATTCTGCCAGAAAAGTATTTGGAGCATTTTGCTTATCTTTCTGAGGCTATTTACATTTTACTCGGTGACAAGATATCACTAACAATGCTTGAACATGCTGAGAACTTGTTAACCAGGTTTTACTGCAGTTTTTCAGAACTGTATGGTAATGGTAGTTGTGGTCTAAATGTCCACAATGTTTGCCTCCATTTGCCATACTATGTAAGGAGGCTTGGACCTATTTGGGCTTGGAGTTGTTTCCCTTTTGAAGATTGCAATGCACAATTACTTCAGTCTGTACATGGTACTGGTGATGTTCTTAAACAAGCATTAAGAAGTCAGGAAATTTCTATATTTCTTAGATCAAGAGAGGATGTGTGCAAGAAAAATAGACATAAATTAAAGGTAACTTGCACAACTTCCAACTGTGAAATAATAGGAAAGCTAAAACCTGTTGCATCCTCATTGGTTGACCTTTATCGGGCATTAGGTTTACAAAATGATTGTGAGCTCAGGAAAGTACACAGAGTTATTGTCAATGGTTGCAAGTTCTACTCAAGGGAATACTCTAGAATGAAAAAGCGGATATGTCACTGTGTTCTCTATTCTGGATCCTCAGCAGGGTTAGTTCAGTATTATGTGTTTGTTCCACATCAAGATAAAGTGTATGCTGTTATTCTGAAGCTACAGAACAATCGTCAGTCATGGCTTTCAAAATTGGCAGCAGGGAAGCAGTTATTGGCAGTTACCCTTACAGACAACACAGATATTGTTCCAGTAGATGAGCTACTTTGTACATTAGTGTTTATTCAAACTGAGGAAAATAAAGCTGTTATAGTCAAAATTGCTAACAAGCATGGCCATGCAGTTTTTAAGTAGTTGTTGAAAGATTTGTGATTAGTTAGTTATGAATCTTTAAGCTACTATCCCACATATTTTTCATGTAATTTTAACATCAGTGGGCATTAACATCTCTGTATTTAATTACATTATTAAAACAGATGTATTTTACAGATACATAGATGTAAAAATTTGTAATTACGTTAATTAAATACTAGTGCTAATACTGTTGATGTCATTTACATGTATACTCTGTTAAAGCTGATATCCTCATATTTTTACTTTTATTTTAATATTGGTGTGTATTTACATATATTTGATTAATATAATTATTACAGTACAATGATATGAAGGTTTTGCAATTTCCATGAAATAAGTGTACGCCATTTAATTTAAGTGCTAATTCTGTTGCATGTACATGTATGTAGGTCAATATTTTGTCAATATTAACGCAAAGTTTTACAAAAAAGCTGGATAAAAGTGTCCAAACTGTTACATTCAATGGTGAGCTATTGTGATGGCCTTGTGTTCGTCTTAGTCCGTCAACAAGATTTTCTTTAAAATGACATCTCCTAAACAACAAGGCCGATTGCAACTAAACTTTACAGAAATGATCCTCAGGTGGTCCCCTGCAAAAGTTGTTCAAAAAATTAAATTCAATTTTAAAAGTCTGGTTGCCATACAACCATGGCAACCAATAAGAAAAACTTTAAAAATCTTCTTGTCAAAAATTATTTGCCCTAAAGCTTAGATATTTGGTGTGTAGCATGCTCTAGTAAACCTCTACCAATATTGTTCAAATTATGGCCCCAGGGTCAATATTTGCCCTGCCCAGGGGTCACTTGATTTTACATGACTTATATAGGAAAAACTTTTAAAATCTCTTGTCAAACTATTTGACCTAGACCTTAGATATCTGGTGTGTGGCATGCTTTAGTGAACCTCTACCAACTTTGTTGAAATTATGGTCAGAGGAACAATAATGGCCCTGCCCAAGGAGTCACTTGATTTTACATAGACTTATATAGGAAAAACTTCTTGTCAGAAACTATTTGGCCTAGAGCTTAGATGTTTAGTGTGTAGCATGCTCTAGTAAACCTCTACCAATATTGATCAAATTATGGCCCCAGGGTCAATATTAGCCCCACCCATGGGGTCACTTGATTTTACATAGACTTATGTAGGAAAAACTTCAAAAATGTTCTTGTTTTTTTTACAACATTATCATTCTTTACTTAGATGAGCGACCTGGGGCCAATGGCCCCCTTGAGTTTTGGTTACTTTGTATTTTAAAATAAATTTGAACCAGGATGTGGGGTCCGAGAGCAGCTTTAATAATAAATATCCAAGAAACATTGTTAGTAAATATTATACTTGTTAACTTTTCTTGTTGCCTTATCCATTTCACTGTGTAATCTGAGTATCTCTTTTCTTATCCCCACTATAGATGGTGGGGGGCTTTTAGATTTGCACTTGTTCGTCCGTCAGTTCATCTGAAACTTGTCGTATGTAGCCCAAAAAGTATTTGATCCACAGTCATCAACTTCACAAAAATGTTAATCAGCATGTGTTTCGCATCTAGGGTTTTCTGTGTGAATTCATTTAGTAAGAGCAGAGTTGTGGGCCCTTATTAAAGATTTGCAATATTTAACTTTTGTTGCACATAGCTAAAAAAATATTTGATATAGAGCTATGAAACTGCACAGGAATGTTGTTCAGCATAAGTTGTTGCGCACCTGGGGTTTTCTGTGTGAATTCATTTCGTAACAGCTGAGCTATGGGCCCTTATTTAGTAAAAATTTTCAAGCTGTGTTGCAATTTTCATGTTGTGTCGCTAAGTAGCTAAAAGAAAAGTATTGCTTCGCATGTGTTGTTGTGCATCTGGGGTTTTCCATGTGAATTTCATGTTTGAATGGCAGAGTTATGGGCCTTGGCATAGTAAAAATATGCAATTTTCCTCAGCACTGAGTGTGTTAATCCAAACGTGTTAGAGCTTGAATCTGGAAACTTTTAAGAAACGTGGCTATATGATATATATATAAACATGGTTATCAAGCATTACAGGTACATGGAATGTTTATGAGTCATGATCTATTTCTAACTCATATTCATGTAAAAATCATAGGCAGTTCAAGGACTTTATATTATAAAAAGTTCATGAGCCTAAACTCATGAACAGCTCATAAGCCAAAATTTACTGACTATTCATGAGCTTATAAATGTTCATTAACAGTACATGAATTAATCATGAACTTGCTTTAAGGATGGTTCATGAGTTAAAAGTCCTTGAACTCGCCTTTTGAACTAATGATGACTTGTTCTTGAACAATCCTTCATTGGCATTAAAAGTTCATGAAATCATGAACTTGATTTCGCAGGGGTGGAAATAAAGGATCTTTTGATCATCTTTTTATAACTGAGCATTGTAATGTAACACAAAAAGAGCTTTTAACTTATTTTTAAGTACTGTAAACCTATTAACAAGGTTAGAGGCAGAGTGCACCCTTTGCTCAGACAGGTTCTGTAGTTAACAAATTTCCACATACTATTATGACATTTTAATAAACATTTTTTATCACATATCAAGCCCTTTAACATATTATACAATTACTTTCTGTAAAGGACATTGTCCTTTGTACAAAACTGTTTCCAAAGCAATAAAAAGAGTTCAGGAAAGGCTCCTAGCCTGAAATTAAGTAAATGCCAAATCTGCAGTGAAACTTTCATTGTGAATTAGCAATAATACAATCAAGGGAACAACAGTTGCAGAGATTTTATTGCCATTTAATTGTTGTTACAAAATAATAATGACATAGTGTGTTGCATGTTTTTATTTACCTTATACTCTGCTCCCTCACAGAAACATTAATTGTGAAGACATTAAAGCATGCAGCAGTAAAATGCATGGCTTGCAAGAAAACTAAGGTCTTTGCAGGTGTTTTTTTTTCTTTATATGATGTTAGAGCAAGGATTTGCAATTCAACAGACAGTCTTCCTGCATGTTTACTGGTATTGTTGAAAGTCTTTTTCACAGACAGACTTAGGTGCAGCCACAAGTCTTTACAGTCTGTACTTACCTTTCTACAGACTATTAGTACAGTTCGTCTTTGAATTGAATTATAAGAAACATGTACTGCAGAATAAATACATTAATTTTGTGCATAAACATTTTGTGTAATGTTTCGTTTGTTAATGGTAACTGAATGCTGTTAACTTTGTATCAATAATATAGAAACATCAAAATTTAATGTTCTAAACAAATCAACAAGGTAGAGCAACATTTATAGACTACAACCTCTGACATAAATCAACCACACCCCCAAGGCACCCAGTAGAGCAAAACACCCCCAAGGCACCCAGTAGAGCAACAAATGAAAATAGGAGAGGGCCCCAAGGGCTAAGAAAGGAGAAGGACTTACCAATAACAGCAGTTCAATCAAAAAATAATAGAAACCTTTCTGTAATGTGGATGCCCTACATTCTGATGCTGTCCTGATTAATAGTATAACCCTTATCCCACTTAAAAGACCTGTTCATCTGTTAATCTGGACAAAACCATTCATCAATTTTAGGGAAACTGTGCTGACTGAATAGCAAACAAGTGCAGAAACTGATAATAGTCAGACACCATCGGATGTACCAACTCCTTGCTCATACTGCAATTGCTACATCATGGTAGGTCCATTACTTGAAAGCAGTAAACAGCCCAGCTCAGGTTGTGCATGCTCAGGCCAGGCTTAATTTTCATTAGCATGTTCAGCTTCTTGGCAGTCCATAAAGATTAAGGTTTACCAAGCAAAGTAATTGTTCTAACTACTTAATGTATCTGAAATTAGGGTTCATGCAATGAAGATCTTGTACTGAAAGCCTTATATGCACATTTAAATGTTATGTATGTAAATGTGACTTATTTAGATCCTTGCACTCATTCAGTGCAGTCAACAAGGCTACTTGCGACATCTATATATGTATTCAGCCTTGTATACATTAAGCTGTTTAATCTGTCAATATCTTATGTAAATGCTGCATTAATAATAATTATTGTCTTCTGTAGTGACTTTCCGTTTTGATCTTTATTCTCATGTTATATTATATCAATCATACTCATTACATGTACTGTAACTTCATGCAACTTTTTATTTCTGTAAATAATCCTGAAACTAGTTGATACTAACTAAAAGTTCAGAACCACCTTGTGTTTGCAATTTTGTTCTCCCCTTTATTTCTGTCTAGGTCAGGTAATGATTTTCCAGCTTTACTTATGATAGACAATGCCAGTTGCCTATTTAAATGTGCATTACTTTAGGCAGGCAACTAATTATAACCACCAACCTCCAGTTTAAGCTGGCTGGATAGCATCCAAAGTTCCGGGCAGCAGAGACGGACAAGTGGTCGAAATCTGAGTGACCCTTACCCCGCAGCCATTTTCCTCAATCATCTTCAAAATCTAGAGCTTAAAAATGCTGTTCAAAGTATTAGTCAGCAAATTGAGAAAGTTATAGACATGTAAATTGTAAAAGACAAAATCGTGTATGGCTGTGGCCAGCATGTTGAACCAATTTAAAACCAAACTTCATGTAGTTTGGGAAAGTAGAAGGCTTTATTGAATATTCAGGAGCTGGATGGGAAAATTGTCTTGAAACCTACCTTCATTTATGACCTTTTTGCTGATTAAATGAATTTGATGGATCAGAATCCATGTTGTCACCCAGCACATGTGTAAGATTTGTAGAAACCACAGGAAAATCAGTCACTGAAGGGTGATGAGAAAAACAATAAATAATAGAACTACAAACTTGGTTTGATTCATTGTGGACATGAAATGCAACCTCTCATGCTTCTAGCACCAGTTTAGCTGTGATTTGATGCATGGCAACTGTGATGCAGATTTGTTCTAATTTACTGTCCTTCAGTTCTTTGCTAAAGCACAAATTTCAAGGTTAAAAGTGGTTGAAGATTAAAAGGTGTTTTTTTTTAGCAATTTTTAATCTATTTGGATTATCCCTTTTATAATTTGAAGATTATCACTATCATAGGATGTCATGCCAATACATATGTACAATTACTTAATTTATTCTCATACCCATTTACATCTTTGATGCTAATTCAGGGGAATTTTACACAGAGCAGTTATCAATATTTAATGAATCTGTTAGCATAACAATATTATTGTTCTATAAAAGACTTCACTCTGTCTTTCGAGTTCAATGCCACAAATTTATGGCTTCTGCAGAATATAAAAGGTAAATAAATGGCTAGGAGCTTTTGAAAATGAATGAATGAATGAATAAATAAGTTTGACACTAGAGAAATGGTTTGAGAATTTTAATGATATTGATGGTGCAGTCATATGCTGTCATAATAAATGAGCCCCGTCATGACAAAACCAACATAATGAATGGGTTTGCAACCAGCACGGATCCAGACCAGCCTGCGCATTATATTGATGGTGCAGTCATATGCTGTCATAATAAATGTGTAACTGTTGTACAATACTGAAAAAAAATCAAATGTATAGTTAAAAAAATTCAAGAATATGACACTGGTTAGAACAATTCAGACTGACTCTATAAAAGAAAGTATAACACTTGAAAGAAGCAATCTATGCAACTGACAAAAGCCAATTTCAATCAAAAGTTTATTTACATGTATTTTATTTGCTCAAAGTTGATAAAATTACTGAAATTGAGTGACCAACATAAATTAAATGTTTATTCTATTTCTCAGCTTAAATTCACCCATATTTCCACACTGTGTCTATATCTTGCACACAAAAATGTGTGAATGAATTTAGTTTAGTCAAAGTTATCTTTGTTTATTCCAAAGATAGCTAGCTGTTCTTGTTCATTATGTACATAGGATATGTATATCATAACCAATGCTATGTATTTGATTCATAGTCCACCTTTTGCTGAAGTCGTGCAAATAACATTGTTTATTTGTTCATGTTGTACTCCTTTAGGTTTAATTTTCCCCCGTTTTGTACCCCATCGTATCTGAAGTTTAGTAAATGCTAATGTTGCACGCTCATTGACTTTCTAGGCCACTGACTCTAGGTCAGGCTATCTACGCCAAATATAGATGCCTAGTTCATTCATAACTGTGTCAGAGGCGGGGCTACATTAATTATGTAGATGAGGTGAATGCTGATTGGCTAATGCCTGTATACTATCAAGCAGCGATTGAATTGGTTGAGCGTGTCAGGTAAAATTTCATTCATAAAATCTACATCTGTTTTAAATTTGGAGGGAAGCAATTTTCCCAGGGGTTGTAAAGTGGATACTCATTCATAAAAATTGGAGAGAGAAAAAAAGTTGGGTGATCATGTAAAAACGTTGCACAAGTGGCTCTGTAAATGCTACTAAATGGTTGTTGGATTGAAATGAGTTAAGAAAATTACAATTAAAAGTTTGAAATACATTACAGAAGGAGTTTTTGAAAACTTGTACATGAATGGGAAAAAAAAAATTTTTTTTGAAGTATTAATGCCATGATATGTGCTACCTGTTACATGTGGATGGACTGCACGTCTTTAGTGATAAGGTGGAATATTCTCCAGTGTAGAGCAGAAGATTGACATGTATAATATGTTCTGATCGTAAACAGCTGATGTGGAGGGGGATAGAAAATCTTGGTTGATATATATTTCTGCCGTATTTTAATTGCTCTATTAAGCTAATTGCGCGAGCTGCTGTTTGGATAAAAACATAGAATACTCACTAGGAGTAAAGCTTTAATGGCCATAAGCTTTAAAGAAAATTTCACATGTGTGTTATATATGTTGGGCCCTTAATTATCGCCCTGACACTTAAACTAATGTAAGTTTTTAAAGCTTTCTAAATTTATTATTTAATCAAAATAGTTAGGAGATGACGTTTTTTTTGAGAAAGAGATAAAAATTATAAAAGTTATCGTCTTATGATCGGAGGAGCGGAAAAAATTGCAAAAAGTTTGATAAAATAAACACAGCTGTGATATACCAGGACCCTTGAATTTTTAAATGACTTTATGGGAGAATTGAAACCTGTTAAGACAAAGTATCTTTGTGATGTGCTTTGCAGAAAAAAGGAATGTAACTAGAAATCAAGACACGAGATTAAGAAAGAGTTAACATAAAAGCTTTAACAAAGGCCATCTTCTGCTTTCATAAGAAGGTCCTGGTTTGAAGTGAACCAAATATTTAACAAGGATCTTCATGCATTAAGTGCCAGATTTCATGGAAAACAAACTAGTTATCATTACAACAAGGGTACATTATTTGACAAAGGATTATTTCTATTTTTTCTTTTCATTTTTCAACAATCGCTAATTGACCAATCGTTGAGAGAGATAAAAATGTTGCTATAGCAACTAGGATAAGTTATGCAAATAGATG